ATTGTATTCGTTACCAAAGAATTTACAAACAATAATCTCACCTACCTGATTCATGTTTTGTGGTTCGTTTTCTATCGGTCGATCTGACAATGAATCACATAGGCTTCAAAAAAAGGTTGAATCCCAACTTTAAAGACCCTCACCGTCCCCTCCCTGGAACATCGTGAGAGAGGTAAATCGCGAGATGTGCTCCAGCAGGCCAGAGAATAAGAGTTTGCCTATATACTGGTGCCCACGAAGAATCCAATTCCATATCTCAGGAATCGAATCCTCACATTGTGGTTGCTAGTAAAGCTGAGATTACCTTACTCCTTTCCTTTGCACCACTGGATTATACCTTGAGAGGCATCACATAGGCTTCAATATTGTACTAAGAGCATCTTTTAGAGTATACAAAATCATTATATAATGTCTTCTAATATGATGCGGAGTCATAAAAATAGAATATGAATATTTTTTTCGATTAAATTGTGGATAATATAATTCCTGTTTGGTGGATATTAATATCAGATTTTTAGTATATTTTAATAAATATTAATGAACGTGTAATTAAAAAATTATGAGTCCTATGAAATATGTGATTAAAATATAGATTTCCACCGCGACCTTGACTTTGAAAAGTATACCCGTTCTGGATTCTTAAATCCTGATAATGATAATGTTGTTCCATATGCTAATTAATAATGCTGTCCTTTCTTATCCTCTGTCCTTGTTAGCAGGAATTAGTCATAGTTTCATAATAATTGAAAAGCCAAACCCCACTTCCTATATAATGAGGGGTATGCACCAATAATTGTCCAAATCCATAGAAATATTTGACGTCTTTACCAAAGTTTTACTAGACATTTTGGTTAAAAATATTCGCTATGTTTGGTAGCTTTTCGATAGCCTCCATATCCAACGAGAACTAAATTCCTCGCCCATAGAGTAACCCCTTTTCTTCCTTCACGAGTCATCATGGCCAAAATCAAAATTTTCGATAGCTTTCTGATGTCCTATATTTTAGACTTCAATAAGAAATCTCGTTTGCAAAGTAAATGTTTTTCACTTTTATGTGATCATGATGTTCAATAAGTTTCCAATGGCCCTTGATCCTCGAACCCAAAATCTCAACTGTCAAAAATAAACCTTTTTCCACTTTTGTGAGGCAACGGTGGATGTTAAATCAACCGTGCTACAGTGCCCACCTCGGGGACCGACTCGGGGACAGGGGGCTGAGGTGGCATCACCTCAGCCCTCGATTTCAACTTCATTTTTTTTTTCCAGATTCAATGGCCGAGGTGTTGCCACCTTGTCGCCCTGTCCCCGAGCCTGGCCACATTGCATTTTCCATGTTAAATAGCTTCCTAGCTAGTTCAGACTTGAACCAAGAAACCCATAAGTAAAATAAACACTTCCATGAGCCATGAAAACCAAAAACCACGATACTTGACGACCTTTCAATGGCTTCCATTTCGAACTTGAATAAGAGATCTTGTCCTTTAAAGTAGATATCCCCGGCCGAGTACATGATTGTGAGAAGTAGACATGGTGTGATACTGATAGCGGTTCAGTCCCTTGTGTTGTATTGTGCTTAGACATTGTGGAAATGAGCCGAATCAATATCACTCTTGTATGCTTCTTTGCTGCACAATCCTATTTCTTCTGCATCAGGTTATGCAATATTTTTTTTCCTCTTTTTTCACTCTTTTTGGTCAAGACTTTTTTCTGTTCAATGGCAATGGAAATTGCAGGAAAAATATATAGATCCAGGTCATTTCAAAAGGTACTTGCCGAATCTCTCATACCAAAAAGAGCAATTCAGAAGAACATGTATCAGGTGGGTACCTTGATAGCCAATAGAATGCGCCAAATTTTCTGTCGTTAATGGATTTTGGCATCACGACACGGTTGGTTAGTATCCACAAATATTTTTCTCTACATTAGAGCTATTCATAAGCATTATAATTTCTCTTGTATGAAATAATCTACTGCAAGCTTCACTAAACATTGGAGGAGCCAGGCGGCACTACACTCCCAGAAAAAGTTTTTACAGAGACTCAACAGACCTCTCACAGAGGAGGAGGTAGGCATTTTTTGTGCAATTTTTAATTATATGGGCCGACGTGGGACCCACACTCCATGTAAGTGTCCTATGCACTACCTGTGAAAATCGACCCAGTACGTCTGGTTTTATTCCAACAAGAAACAGAGAAGGTATGTCCTAACTTCTTTAGGTTGTGGTAGGTCGACTCTAGATAAAGTCCCTATTTGGCTTCCATTTCTTAAAATTTATTTTATCTTCAAACTTATTTTTAATCACACATTTTATGGAATATATTATTTTTATCAAATTTTCAACTATACATTTCTAATTTCATAATTTTTTTTATT